GGGGTCCAGATTTCTCCTTCGTCATTAGTTCAAGGTCCACACAGTTTAATATATTCAGAATCATACTTACATTTGGCCATGTCGTCAAGCTAGTTTGCTGCCTCTGTTTAGTATCTGTCTGTTAGTCACTGACTCTACAGCAGGAAACGGCACTTCAAAATAAAAGCTTGTGCTGGAAATTCACTGTACATCAAAAATGAAGTGTTTTTTTACAAAGTAAACGTACTGAACTGAATCACTTCCGGAACTGATTCGTTCATTTCTCAGTTCAGTTGAGCTCAGCAGCGAGCGTGCAGGCTGGGAGTGGAACTGCCGATTCAGTCCGTGTGAACGATGAATTACTTGCGAGTCGCAAGGCAGCCAGGGTGCAGGGAGGGACTGCCTACTGCGTGACGAATCACATGGTGAACGAATCACTCGGTGAACGACGTAACCCAGACCTGAGTGATTTGAATAATTTCTTCTCAGCGATACACTTTCATAGGGACCGTTTTTTCCAAGCTAACGGCTAATGTAGCCAGGAGTCAAGCCACAGGAACACAATCACACACCTCCCCATTGTTTTAACAGGCTTAGTTTCCAGATAAACGAACTTAAAACGTTAGGCTGGCCAATACTGAGACTCACCAGTGCAGGGCAGACGCAGCAGCAGCTCAGCCGTGTATCAGTTCAGTGAGTCGGACTACGCAGTACACAGTCACGAATCTTTACACAGAAACGAATCTTTTGAACAAATCTTTTTAATGAACTGATTCTAGTGATTCAATAACATCTAAAGAACTGCTTTGCCCATCACTAGCGTATGGAAGAGCAAGTTTTGGCCTGGATATCCACTGGTTACACTGGATCTCCCAAAATATATCGGCTGTTGCCCTCAGAGGCTTTACGACTCTGTAAACCAGCATAGCAAAAACATAGCTAGCATCATCAGCACTGGCCACACAAATGAGAAACCAGAGGTGATGTACCCTTATATCATATCACCTCCGGAGATCTTTAACGTTTCTCAGTAAGATGAAAACTGTTGTGTAGACATAGTTTAACCAGGGTTGGAAAACATAATGTTCTGCATGCAGTTATAGATTTACCAAAAATTCTTATGAATTATCAAATTGGTCTATTCAGTGACACGATTCTGTGAAACAATAATCCCGCTGATCTGTCCGCTGCTATTCTAACAAATAAGATGATGAGAGCAGCAGCCTGTGTGTCTTCATTCAGAGGTTCTTCTTGGATCATACACAGACCATAATGAGTTTCTGACCAGTTCAAAGGAGGCTCTGCTGCTGTCAGTCAAATCATCTCTGTGATAAGCATCTCCTTTTCTGATGACTTTGAAAGCCACCCAAGATGAAAGACAAGTCTTCTGTTATTTTGGAGCGGTGTCAGTTTTACAGCAGCTGACCCAATCAGATCACAATCAGACACTAATATGTAGAACAGCGATGAGGCCGTGCAGTGAGCAGCTACAGGTTGAGATAACAGTGTTTGACGTTTTCCCACTCTGAACTCAGAAAAATGACCCCGCTCTATTTCACTGGAGATTTAAGAACTTTTGTTTTTTACCTCAGTTTTGGTCATTACATACAGCAACAGGTCAAACATCTGCTTTCCCTTCTCATTTTGTTGCCTTTGTGACCAGCTATTGTGTAAAGAAAAACTAATTTGGCTGTTCTGCAGAATTTTAACAACTACATGGTTGGGTTCAGGAAAAAAGAACAGGGTTTGGCTTTGTATCTTTATAATCTAATCACCGCTCTCCCCGCGTGAAAGTCGATGTTTGTTGGACCTATCCCCCTTCCTGCCCACCCAACTCGGACCTTTACTGCCTCAACTTTTAGTCTTGAGCTGGCTGCTTCAATATGCTAACGTTAAAGAACAGCTTTCTTCATCAGTGTCTGATGCTGCAAGTCAGCGTCAGATTTTGAGGACTTTGGAGCAAGGCCGGGTTGTATCATAACTTTTCTAAAGTGATGTAAAATATGAGCTGACTTTGTCGTCGGGAGATGGAGGGACTGGTGGACGGTGTGACACCCAGACGAGATGCCTGCCAAGCTGCAAACTAATGTTCGAGACCAACAAACAATGAAATTGGTTGTTTTTCGGGACCCATTGTTGTATTTTCAGAGGCTTTTTAGCCCCAAAATGTGGGGTTTTTTGGAGGGATGTGTCCCTCTGTTTCCTGCCGGGATAGCGGGTAAGTGGGTATTTTAAGCCAAAACATGACCTTTTCATAACTGTAACTAACCACATGTTAACCACAGCACTGTAAAACATAAAGGAATGTCAAGTTTCAACATATCCACCACATAAATGTACAAATGTACCTTATCCATGGTTTACAGAAACTTACAATGCCACCATGTTTTGGCAAATGGGTTGCAAATGGCAATCCTTAGTGACTAGGTTAACTTGTACATCAATATCGCACTATTATTTAGAATTTGACAACTTTCTGAATTTGATGTGGGTCATGTGAGCAGCATATTACATTTGGATATTCCCAATCAAGGCTTTTTCTGAATTTAACATTTTCCGATTAAAGGGAAATTTCGGTTTATTTCAACCTGTCTCCTATCGTCCTAAATTTGTTTCAGAATCAGAATCAAAATCAGAAATACTTTATTGATCCCCGAGGGGAAATTATTTATGTTACAGGTGCTCCTTGCAAGAGAGGAAAGATACGTGAAAATCAAGTGACTAGTGACATAGAAATAATAGTTAGCATGTTAGCCGTTAGCCTAGATACAGCCGGGGCACATAGAAGTGTCAGATCTGTTAAAACATAAGTGAAAGGGCAACCTTCAAGTGCAAAGTTAGTCCACTAAACAAGCTTTTTGTCCACAAAGACCGCCTCATATCATTAGGATAAATGTCAGAGAACATATAGAAAACGACATGTAAACGTGTTGTCTTACATTACCGGTGTGCTGCCATGTTTGTTTACCATTTAGCTCTGCTTTCCAAAGCGCTGCCGAAATATCGCGAGAACAAGCAGCAACAGCTGGAAGGCAGAACCAGACAGTAGCCTGAAAAGTTCATTCATTTATTTTATGAAAGATTTATAGAATAATGGCTGACGTTTTGCCAGACTTCGACTTTGTGGAGGAGGAATTTGATTTTGCAGAGTTTGATGGCCGCCCTTATTTATTTGAGCCAGAATACACTGACGAAGAGCTTCATGAAATTGAAGAACGGAGGAGGAGAGAGAGAGAGGCGCAACAGGTAGAGGACGAGAGAGGAGGAATGGCTGCTGCAAGGCTGCGTAGCTCTGGAGATTGGTGGTGTACCTGTGAATGCTGTGCCCCAGTGCCCACAGAAGAGGAATGCCTCTGTTGCAAGGAATGGGACCGGTTGCAGCCTTATTTTCAAGGTCTGGATGTGACCGAGGACGAGACACCTCCACCTGGAGTAGTATCCAGCTGGGCTTTATCTAGAGCTGGCGAGATATATTTCGGCCACGCTTTGAAAAGCAGAGCTAAATGGTAAACAAACATGGCAGCACACCGGTAAGGTAAGACAACACGTTTACATGTCGTTTTCTGTATGTTCTCTGACATTTATCCTAACGATATGAGGCGGTCTTTGTGGAAAAAAAGCTTGTTTAGTGGACTAACTTTGCACTTGAAGGTTGCCCGTTCACTTACGTTTTAACAGGTCTGACGCTACTATGCGCCCCGGCTGTATCTAGGCTAACGGCTAACATGCTAACTATTATTTTTATGTCACTAGTCACTTGAAACAAATTTAGGACGATAGGAGGCAGGTTGAAATAAACCTAAATTTCCCTTTAAGATGGAGACGTGCTGGTGTTAGACTGGTTTTAATAGTTTCGTTTCGTTTCGTTTTGTCATTTTCCAACTTATAAAACTCCAATACACACAAAACACAAAGTTAATGCATTTAAAAAAAAAGATGAAACATTTGAGCATTTTATGATCATGTATACAACACATTTACAATATGCGCCTCAACTGGAGTTTTTACCGCAGTTTGCAACACGTCCTCGTGTCTGTTTACAGTCAGCTCTGCGCACTTTCATGGATACGCTGCACACAAACCAACTTGCCAACAGTTTGCAAGCTTCAGTACAGCTGCATGCCCAAAAGAGAAAGCCCACATTTCAGGTCGGAAGGAGAAACACACCTACTACTACACATTATAAAAGACTTGGATATTACAAGGTGTTTGGATATGCACAAATATCGCAACACCGACCTTTTCAAGAGGGTGGAAGAAGGAATGAAAGAGGGAGGCTGTGTTCACGTGGTCCAACAAGTCCGACACCTGTGGGAAACTTAGGAAAATTAGTTTTTGGGTGCAAAGAAGCAAAATGATGAGCAGCTTCAGCTGTGCCACATTTTAATATTTTATAGACATGTGATAAACAACATGTTAGGGCATGTTAATCAGAGCATGCATGGCTGCTTTCAACAGCTTAGTAGGAATATGTCTTTTTGGTAATAAGGGCAAAACCTGGACTTTCTTGTGCATGTAAATGTAGCCACTGTGTCCCCTGCTCCTTTCTGCTCCTTTGTCAGAGGGAGGAAACATATCTCATAATGAGAAGATCACAAAAAGTTTCTCACTGTAGCAGTGTGTGTGTGTGTGTGTGTGTGTGTGTGTGTGTGTCCTTGTGTCAGATCAGTTTTAACAGGGAAATAAAATGTAATCAGTGAGGAGAATCTGGCAGCTTGTTGTAAAGGAACAGGAGCCATTACTTTCTCTTCCCCCAGTTTAAAGATAATGATCTGAGCAGCAGCTAACAGGAGATACTCAGGGTTAGGTTACATGGTAGCATGCAAACAGAGTTCCCACATGTTCCACAGCTGAGCTTTGTTAACGTGGAGAGATCCAGTGTCAGAAATTAAATGTGGAACAATTTACAAATTTTGCAGATTTGAAGGTTTGTTAATTGAGAATCAATGAACGACAGTTTTGTAAGATTTAAAAGCAAGTGATAACACCTTTTCATACCTTATCTTTCCCTTCTTTTGCAGGAGTGGTTCACAGATGACTGCAAGTTCAGGGAACGTTTCCAGGAGAACAGCTACAACACTTACGCCTCAATCATCCACAGGAACCACAGGACTGGTCGTGAGTGGTTTGTGGCCCTCAATAAAAGAGGGAAAGCCAAAATGGGCTCCAGCCCGCGGGTCAAATCCCAACATGTCTCTACACACTTCTTGCCCAGGGTCAGCCTGCACGACAAGAGCGAGCGAGGTTTCACCATCACAGACAAGAGCAAAGAGAGGAGGAAAACCCCGCCGCTGCCTCCACCAAAACCTCCTCTGGCGAAGGCTGTCCACGCAGGGACAGCACCGAGACGTACGCAAGTCAAGTACTGGCCCAAGTATCGGTTTGGATAGACGTCATGGGGTTTGGCTCTATCTGGGGGACACAGAGATCACAGACTTATAGTGACGGACGTGCCCAAAAACCTGACAAGGGTCATTTTTGACATTCGAAGCATTCCGGGTATCTATGACATGTGTGACAAACCTCAAAGGGCTGCCAGGTACAACTACTGAACTTCTCTTTGCTGAAGCTATGATCATAGTTGGGAGTTTCCACCTGAGCTGATGATGCTCTGTCCTGTTTTATGTTCTCATACGTGTACATGTTGAACCTCAGCAGCGCCACAGGCTGAGAAAATGTCCCCTTAAATCAGATGCTGTTAAAGCTGAAATCCATAACTTTACACATCCCAGCTGACACTGGGAGAGAGGCAGGGTTCCCCCTGGACAGGTCACCAGACTATCACAGGGTTGACACATAGAGACAGACAACCATTCACACTCACATTCGCACCTACGGACAATTTAGAGACACCACTTAGGCCCCGTTTATACGACAACGATTTCAACTGAAAACGGTAAACTTTAGTTGCGTTTTGGCCGATCGTTTACACGACGGCAGTGTTTTGGGTGCCTGAAAACTTTTCGAAAACGGGTTCCAGAGTGCAACTTTTTGGAAATGGTAGCGTCTCCGTTGTCATGTAAACTTGCAATATGCAGTTCCTCTGAAAACTGAGACTTTTCTCACATGCGCATTACGGTTTCAGTCACTAGGCATGCCGACCATCACAACAACAATGCCGAGCTCTGTTTGTGCTGCTTACCCTGTTGATTTGAAGTGAAGTGTAGATCTGTTACTGTAGCAACTCCACCTCATCGTCCATCCAGACAAAGTTATCTGTGCATGCTTTCGCCATTGTGTCTTCTTTGTTTTGGTTTGTAATCACCTTGTTGTAGAGGAAGGCGTTTCAGCGCAGGCACATGGCGTCATGCCGTGGTGTTGCTTTGCAAATTTACACTGCCACCCATTGGCCTGGCGTGTAATACTACAGCGTTTCCAGTAGATTTTGCGGCTCCTTGTGAACGAGGATCGTTTCAATAACGTTGTCATTTAAACGCAGAAGTTTTTTAAAACGCAAAGGACAGACTTTTCCGTATTTAGAGGAACCGTTGTCATCTAAACAGGGCCTTAACCTGCATGTCTTTGGACTGTGGGAGGAAGCTGGAGTACCCGAGGAAACCCATGCTTACATGGGGAGAACATGCAAACCCCACACTGGAGGGTCCCCTACCCCGGGGTTCAAGCCCCCCCCACCCCAATTCCCTCTTGCTGTGAGGCAGCAATGCTAACACCTACGCCACCATGCCACCCGTGACAAAGTAATAATAATGCTATAATAATAATGCTAAATGTACGCTTTTCCCTAAGCAGAAGACAAACTTTGTACCTTTGGATGAGGTGGACAATTACTTATTTTCCTTATCATAATCAATGAGTATTTAAAACAGACTAGAGAGTAACACAGGATTTACATTCCTGTCCCACCTTGCTCCCCAAAAGAACTCCTGTCTGTCTCAATCCCATGACTGGGTTAAAACAGAATTCCTGTCCCATCCTTATCCTGCCAATTCTGTCCCATCCTGTTCCTCTGTTGAGTTTTTGAAAATAAAATAGCATTTATTGATATACTGCACATTTATATACAGTAGGTAAAAACTATGCATATTCAATCAACTGTACAGCAAAGCATAATGCTGAAATAACAGCTATATTGTACATATTTATTTTCCAATATTTTTATAGTCTTCTTTTCATATTTTTATTGTAATTTTTCTATTCTAGCCTGTATTTTATTCTCAACTGCTGTATTACTTTGCATTTAATTTAATTTCCCCTTAATATGTTGATTTTGTGTTTAGTAGTTTGTACCAAACACCGAGGCAAATTCCTTGTAAGTGAGAACCTACTTGGTAATTGACCATTTTTGGCCAGAAAAGCTCTCAAATAATCTGCCTGGAGCTGCAAAACATATTTTAAGGTAACAGTAACAGTAAGTCTAAATTTGCCCATCAATATTACTAAAAGGTCTAAATGAGCATTTATTAATATGTTTTACAACAAGATGGCGACTCTGCAGTGGGCTGTTTATGATTGTTTGGTACTTTAACTTTGCAGAGTTGGCAGTAAAAGCAAATAAGTATGTCCATGCACTGTTAAAGTCTCTATTGTTCTCCAACACTTTTTTTCTGATCTGGAATCTATAGCTAGCTCAGCTGGGGAGATACAAAACAAGCCACTGCTATTGAGGTAGCATTTAGTTGATGAAATATTTTGTGTAGAGGCTACACATTTTTACAATTGAGAATGTAAGAATCAGTCAAGACCTACGACAATGATAAATAAAAATTAGAATTAAAAAAAATTAGCTGTTATTAATTTCTATCTAATTCTTGGTCAAAGCCACAGGGAGCCACTGGAGAGGGGCAAAAGAGCCGCATGACTCTAGAGCAACAGGTTGCCCACCCCTGTGATAGAGCCATGTGGCAACTAACTAGCGCTGAGTCTGTTAGCTCGATGCCAATACATAATTGGAATCCCTATTGACAAGCTATTGTGAATTAGCGATGTGATCACGCTAATATTATCTTAACAAACGATCCATTTTACTTCACATGCTTAACATGAAATGACATGTGCTCTCACATATATTTCCTAAAGTCTGAGGACACGAATGAATGGCTGCTGACTGACCTCATATTGCTAGCTTGTTATAAGCTTCCTGTCCCAGTCATGTGATGAATAGTGAAATCACATGACCCACAGCATTCCTGAAAAGATGTCCGCCTCTAATACAGATGCAATTTCTTCTCTAATTCAAAAGGACAATTCCTGGGGGTCGTTTGCATTTTTAAAAAGTGAATTTTTTTTTATACTATCCCTGAAATGATGCACCAAACTGGAACAGGATGACAGATTTTGTAAAATTAAAGTTATTTTAGAGTTCTGAGTTATTTGGTGTGTGATGAACAGACTTATTGACTTTTTTTGTCACATAGTACAGGAAATCCAGCTCAATCTGCTACATGACAAAGAAGACAATTTAAATTTTTAGATGCATCTTAAATGAGGAGGGAACTAAAAACCGTCGTTGTAGAACTGCACAGTTTTAATTAGCAGCACACAGACAGAAAGTCCCACCATGTTGTAACATCTGACAACACTCCACCACGCAGATGACGAAAATATGATAGTTAAACAAAGAAATAGGTTATGGATTTCAGCATTAAACACTGAAGAATAATTATATTGAGACACGTAAAGCTCTCTCAAACCTGGCTTGGAAAGTGCTTCAAACATGTCTCCTGCCTAAACACACACACCGACCAACTGTCCCTCTCCTCACACCAGATTTGTGATAATCAACATGAAAATGAGGACTGGCTCTCTGGAGACTCCCCCCTCCTCCTGGACAGCTGTGAGGGATCAAGGAGAAAACTGTCCATCAAAACTATCATTTTAGCAACCGGCTGTCCCCTGAAAAATCCAGAGTCATGACCTCACGGCATTCCCCCCAGGAGGAGCGCGCACCGCCGCCACCGCAGGGATAAAGATGCCGAGGAAGAGTGGTCACTTGTTTTGGGGAAGGTTCAAGCTGTAGGTGTATCGGATGGCAAACAGCCGTGGAATGGCCATGTAGGAACACACGGACATCTCTGGGGAGTAATGAAGGGTTTGGTCTCCCCCAGAGCCTGAACTATAAATTAAATGCTGTCTTTTAATTTAATTATTTGTATTACTTGAGCATGGGGTTCATTTTGCAGAAGCAGTCAAAGAAATTCAAATAGACAATCTGTCAAACTGACTATAGTCCACTGTCTGAACCTGTGCGTTAACCTGTGGGAAAATGTTCCAAGTATAAAAAGCTCAAACATGTGCATCATTTCTAATAAGACCAACAACAGAGTGAAAGCATTAAACATGTATTAACATTTGCAATGATAAGAATTGTGAGTTAACAAAGTCAATTGGTGTTATGTTAGATATTCTCATATCTTTACACAGTATTTTAGTGCATTTTTAAAGGTCCAGTGTGAAGGATTCAGGGGGATATATTGCCAAAAAAAGGTATATAATATAATAAGTAGGGTTGCCCCAGACTAAGAAGTTCCCTCACTGACCAATAGTCATCAGTTAGGGCCATTAGTCGACTAGTCTCCTGCATGTTTCTGATATGAATGTAATGATTAAATGATATATTTTGGTGGTTTGAGTTGAAGGTGTGAGAAAGAATAGTATAAGTAACATTGTTAACACTGTGCTACATTACAGAGAAATACAAAACCGTACTAATGAACCTTCATTAATATAGGCCTATATTTTATCTACAAGTGCACGTCACACACTGAGCGAGCCGCCTGTTAATGACGCTGTGGGCTAATGGGCATGTAGCTACTTCCATGTTTCAGATGATACGTCATGTTTGTAGTCGACCAATGAAGATGAGTTTACATATCACCTTGGGTTCGTCCTTCACCTTCTCAAAATGATCTCACACTTTGGATTTCCTGCCCGACATGTTATTAACTAGCCTGTGGAATAACCGCAGGTACCAGCCCTGGAAATTAACCCAAGCGACTAAGCGTCCAATGAAATCCTGCCGACTAGTGACCTTTCTGGTTGACTAACATTTGGTCGACTATTAGGGGGCAGCCCATATTATAAGTATGCTTTCTTTATTGTATAATCACCTGAAACTTATTATTGTCATGTTTTTGTTCCCTTACGATGAGCTGGGAGGTTTCTAGCAGCCCCTCAGTGACAAGCAGCGTTTGAAAAACATTTTTTTAAACTGCTGTTTTCAGTGTTTCTACTGGCTTAAATTGCCTGGTTTGTTTTGGAGAGGAAGAAACCTCTGTGGATAATTCGGCCCCCCTGAACATCTGGATCTTAAATGATCAGGGGAAAAAGGTGAGCACACGTTAGCAGGTGCTGGGCTAGCGGCCCGTCTGCAATTAGCTGAACAACATCAGAGTTTTTACTGGTTTAAAGGTGCAGACACACCAAACCGACATCAAAGAACTAGCGGCGACGAAAGCCAACTGTTGCGTCGTCTGCGTCGCCTCACATCGCCC